CCCCATCCCATCCCCCACCCCCAGTGACCTCACACTGCTGCAGCTACTGCCCCCATCCCATGTCCCGCCCCCAGTGACCTCACACTGCTGCAGGTACCGCCCCATCCCATCCCCCACCCCCAGTGACCTCACACTGCTGCAGCTACTGCCCCCATTCCATTTCCTTGTTCCTGCCTTGTGGTGTCTCCATCTAAGACCCATGTACGTTCCCTGGTTCTCTTTCCCCCGACAGCTGAGTCGCAATGCGACACTGACCAAGGAAGTGGGTCTGGTCCGTTTAACGACTGGTCATCGCAGAGTGAGCCCAGGCACCATGTGCAGCGCGACTGGCTGGGGTTTGACCAGCTTTTTTACAGGAACCGATACCCTTCTGGAAGTGAACCTGTCGGTGGTGACTGATGACCTGTGTCAGAAGCGGTACCGTTCCTATTTCCCCTCCACCATGCTGTGTGTAGGGGACCCCTGTGACCCAAAGTCGACTTACAGCGTAAGTAATTTATTGGCTAATATATGTCCAGGGTGTCTCAGCCACATCCAGAGGGAAACTGTAATGGAAGAGCTGCCAGAGCACAGGACAATCACATATAATAGCTTATAACTTTTCCAAGGACACCTTACATGCCATGCCTTGCCCAAGGTTGATTACAATGGGGACTGTGTAAGTGTGGCTACACATCTTTCTTTGTATACAGCATCGGCTAGGAGGTGAGGCTAGATAATGACAGGGGCATTCATTGTCTAAATTCCCAGAGTCCTTTATTGTGGGCTTCTCAGTGTTAATTCAGTTTTTCAGATGTTTTCGGTTTACTGGCCCAGACAGCCCGGGAGACCTAGGTCTGATCGAGGCATTAACTCTTCTCTCCTGGCTTCTTCTGGGACAGGGCGATTCTGGGGGCCCTCTCGTGTGTGATGGAGTGGTTGAGGGCATCACCTCCTTTGGTGCCTATGACAGCATTGACCCTCCTGTTGGGTTCACTCGGATTTCCCACTTTGTGCCCTGGATCAAAGCCAACATGCAATAAATCTAAGAACACGGACCTGATCTTCTGCTATGCAGCCGCCGCCTTCTGCTACACAACCTGCTCCTGGACACATGGGATCAGACGTTCCTCTGCATCTGGGCTTGCCTGTGTACCATCAAATTCCCTACCCCTCTGAGCCAGCCACTCCACTGCCCTGGGGCTGGACCGGAACTGGCATCCCTTAGAACAGAAAGCCCATGGACCATTGTGTCCTGGGTGCTGAGTAAACTGTGTGACGTTCCCTGCTCAGTGGATCACATATGCCACTGGTGGCTCATTAAATGGCTTTTTGCAGCAACTGCTGGGGGTGTCTTGACACTAACCGTAACCCTGGACTCTTGCAATGAGGAGTAACGGTAGTTCGAATTAGGAGCTTTAGTTCGAACTACCTAGTCCGTGCCGCATGTAGCCACGGGCAGGTAGTTCGAACTATGGGGCATTTAAAAATGGCAGCGCCTGGGAACATGCAAATGAAGCCTGGGATATTTAAATCCCGGGCTTCATTTGCAAGTTCGAATGACTACATTAGCCACGCTAGACGGAACTAGGTTGGCTAGTGGAGACATACCCTCTTTGTGCAGGGCGTGCTCCATTTGTACCCACCCCTGGATCAGCGCTGCCCTCTGGCATGACCCTTTGCTGGCCAAGCTAGAGGGAGCACAGTGGGGAGAGGGACCCTATAGAGAAGAGCCCCAAGAGGCCAGCAAGGGAGGGAACGAGCAGGTGGAAATTCAATTTGGAAGGAGAATAAACAACCCAGCCCGGTGCCACACCCCAACCTGCCCCAGTCTCGGGAACCGAGCCAGGGCTGGCGCCACTCTGAGTGTATTCCCAATGGTCCTGGACCGGCTCTGAGCCCAGGAAGGCTGACAATGGACCAGGGTAGAGGGGCTGGGAGGGAACCTAGGGAGAGAGGTACCGGAGGGGCTGGCACAGACTGATGGACAGGGGGATAAGCTGGGAACTCCTGACCCAAGAGAACATCACAGCTAGAGGCGATAGACCTGTCACAACCCTAGAGTTGAATCTGGGCTGTTGCATGCTCTGTGTGTGTGTCTGTGTGTGTGTCCAGGGCAGGAGACTCAGAACAGGGGGGCTGCAAGTTGGGGGAGCTGACAGAGGATGCCATGGGGATGAGGGTGATGTTGCTCCAGCGGCAAGTCTTCTCCAGGTGCCGGAGAAGCACTCCCCTGAGAGTGGACTGTCTTGGGAGGTTCAGGATTTGAGGGCTGCCCTGGCTGCCAGAGACGCCCCCCTCTGTGTGCTGAAGGCTGTCTGGGGAGTCATCAGACGTAAGATGGAGCCCCTTCTCCCGCGCCCCTCACAGCTTTCAGGCTTCCTGTGTGTGGCAGACTCCAGGTTTGGGACTGGGGGTCTTTACTGCTGTAGTGGCAGCAAAGGTGACAGAGCTCCAGCCCTGCTGACCAATCTCTTGGTGTTGTAGCCTCCTCTGGTGCCCATTTTCAGTATCACGGCCTCCTCTCTGAGCCCCTCCCTTTCTCGACTGGGGGTGACCATGGCTGCCCGGGCCCAGAACTATCGCACGTGGAAATACCAAGAAGAGAGGCCCCCAAGAGCCCACCTGTTCAAATTAACCCACATCCCTTGGAAGTGGCTGCGCCCCGATGCCCACAATGCAGAGGAGATCACGGAGACCCTGGTTATTGACCAGTTCATGCAGAAACTGCCACCAGACCTACGGGCGCGGGTGGGTCAGCATGACCCCACCACCTATGACGAGACGGTTGCATTGGTGGAGAAATGGCTAGTGGTGAGAATTAGTTCTTCTCCCTACGGAGGAGAGGTCTGGCCCCAGAAGGAGGCTGTCAAACCCCAACCCATGGGGGTCAAGCATCTAAGGGCCTCGGAAGTCCTAGAAAGAAAGTAGGGACGAGAGAAGCCTCACAGGAGTCAAAATTGAAGGGGATAAGACAAGAAAAATAACCCCTGAGAGTAGGTCCTTTTTCCCCCCCAGGGCCCCTGGAAATGGTCAAGGAAATAGAACAGGTTTCTGTGAAAATTTCAGATACTTTGTAAGTTTGAGATTTTGCATAAACATATAATTATTCGTGCAGTTGCAAAAAATGGACATCTATTGGATATAAAATGAATATACATTTTTGTGATATTATTTTGAAATAAAAAAAATAAAAACCAAAACATTAACGAAATATCCCCCTTCACTTCCCCAGAGACAGGTACTCCCATGCCCCCATTCTAACCCAATTCCCCTCCGCTTCCCCAGAGCCTGCCCCCCACTCTAATCCAATGCCTCCTTTCTCCCTCAGACCCAGGCATTCCCAGTCCCTCCGCCCCACACCTCATGCCTAGGTCCTGGAGCCAGTGTCTCCATCACCCCACATTTCTTCCTCAGGCACTGGAGAGGCGTGAGCACAGGAGCCAGCTGTGAGCAAGCACGTGATGCCTGTGCAGAGCAGCCCGGCCAGCCGCGATCTGCATTCGGCCACATGCTCCGAGCAGCCAGCGGGTTGCACTTGATTCTTTTATAAAATGCAGTGGCAGGACACACAAAATTTTGATTGGGCCATATGCAGCCCGCCAGAAGCCTGCTTGACATGCCTGATGTAGATGGTATCATGAGCTTTTTGTGGGCACAACCCACTTCCACCCACAAAAGCTCATGATACTGTCTACGTAAGGGGTAGGCAATAATTTTTGCTCAGAGGCCACCTATTTGAAGTCTTCAGTATCTGAGATCTAGGTGAGAGGATTATTCTAGGAGGGGTGGGTGAGATTTTGTGGCCTGCACTGTGCAGGGGGTCAGACTAGATGATCATAATGGGTCCCTTCTGACTTGAAAGTCTATGAGTCTATGTAAAAGACATGCCCCTAATGAGAACAGGATGTGAACAAATTAAAGAGAAAAATATTTAACAGAATGTAAACCACAAAACTTTATAATTTATGTCTGTAGTTAATAAAATAAGTAATTCATTAAACAATAAATATCCTAAGAGGTGGATTATTTACAGTGGTGCAGTGAGGAGAGTGGGAGGGGAAGTGGCCCCTGGGTGCCACACTAGTAAGGTGCCAGTATAATCCCCCTACACGCCTTCTGTCATCCTTCTGCTCACCTGCTCCTTCTCTGCCTGCCACCACTGGCTGGACCTATCTCCTCCCCATCTCTCTGCCCCCAGCCGACCCCGTCCGCCTCTGCCAGAGAGTTAGTGCATGCAAGACCCATCCCCAAACTGGAGGGGGTCGGGAAAGATGTCGTACAAGCTCCCCACACTCCTCCCAGGGTTGGGCTCAGCTGTGTGCCAGTTTCTGGGCCCTACCATTTGGTGTGTGTGTGGGGGCAATTTTGCTTTCTCCCCTGGGCACATAACACCCTCACTACGCCCATGCCTGGCACCCCCAAACTCCTTCACTGCAAGAGAGCTGGGAATACAAAGAGAAAACAAACCGCAGTCTCTGAGGCCTGACATCTCTGCCTTAGACACACACAGACCTCCTCTAACCTGCCAGAATCCAACCGTCACCTGGAAAAAGGAGATTTTACAAACTATACAAAAGATCTACTCGGTAAAGCATTCTGGGGTGCCGGGTGTTACAGAGCAACGGAGAGAGAAAAGATCAAAACAGAGAGCACAGGGTACCTCTGGGCTAAAGTTTAAAAAATACTGTGCAATGAGGGCCCACAGAGAAGTTCATCTAAAATAGAAGACAAAGAATATAACCAGACTGCACTTAACTGGACATTCCCTAGCTACTCAGGAATCTGTGTTCAAGGTCCAGTTCAATGCCCCATATTGCTTGTAGGCCTGGTAGTC